TTATATTTATAAGATATATAGTTTTTATAAGGTCTTTGGGATTCTCAGTGTATGTGAAACCTACCAAACATGGCAAAGATGATGTTGAGGACTGTTAGATAAAGGGGTTACTTAAAGGACTATTATTTTCTTTGGGGAGTCCCTAGTTTAGTGGAGTAGGGCAGGGGTCCCTAATGCTCCTGGCTACAGACTGGTACCTATCCATGGCCTGTTAGGAAGTGGATTGCGTAGCAGGATGTGAGCGGTGGGTCAGCAAGCATTACTGCCTGAGCTCCACTTTCTGTCAAATGAGTGGTGGCTTTACGGTCTAATAGGAGTGCAAACCCCATCGTGAACTGCATATGTAAGGGATCTAGGTTGTGTGTGCCTTATGAGAATCTATTAATAACTAATGCCTGATGATCTAAGGTGAAACAGTTTCATCCTTAAGCCATCCCCCACCCCTTCCCAGTCCATGGATAAATTGTATTCCACAAAACTGGTTCCTGGTGCCAAAAAAGCTGGGGACCTCTGGAGTAGAGGATAATTTAAAGTTTAATGATACAATTTTAATAGTAAAAATGTGTAATTCTTTTAGATATATGTCCTGTTTTATCCCTGAGGAATGACTACAATAGAAAATCACGCCTGATAATTTTGATAATATAGATGATTAAAAAAAATTTTTCTCTGGGATGAAATTCATAAAAACAATTCTTAGTCCAAATTTTCTTTGGCTAGTGATGAAAATGTCGTGTTATCCTATTCCTTGTGGATATATAAAGAATGACAGAAAAAAAGGTGGTTTCGGAAGTTTAGTGTTGGCTTTACATATCTTGGTTAATTCTATCCTGCAAATACATTTTAAAGCATGAGTTTCCTTAGCCTTCTGTTGGTGAGATCTCTTTTTTTTTTTTTTTTTTTGTATTATTTAAAAGATCCAGGCAGAATTAGAAACCCCTATCTTAGGCAAAGAGGTGGAAAAAAAATGAGCTGGTTGATGGACAACACAACTGGTTGCTATTTCCCACCCCTGAAATCATCTGCCTCCCTTCACACTTAAGATGACTGACAGTGTCAGTGTCCAATTATAGCATTACTTTTTTTCATTTGGGAGAGTAAGAGAAATGTTCTTGTATCTTCTGGCATTTCAAAATATTAGGCATGCTAAAAATTGTAATGCATATATCAAAATGTAAAGATTGAGAGTAGTTTATGCTTTTCCTCTCCTTACTGTGACATATGATTTTTTCCAGGGGATTTTCATGCCTCCGATTTTGCCATATCATGATCTCCCAATAATTGCTCATTAAATTCAAATATTTTCACATGAGAAATATTTTATCATGTAACAAATGGTCACAGACTCCCTCAGGATTTCCAAGGCAGGTAAGTCCTAAGAACTTTCAACTCACAATACATCGAAGACTGTTTTCATATATCATGTCTGATAAGCCTAATAATTCTCCTACCAAGTAGACTAACCTACATATTGAGGAAAATCTTTTTTCTTCAATCAAAGGAATTCTCTGTAGATATTTAGAGAAGCAACCAGTTTCTTGAAATGACATCTCCTGTGTCAGACTTTGGTTTAGAAGAAGGCCTATTGAATTTATTGCTCCTTTTTCTACAACAAATTATTCTTATTAGTTCTAAAATTATTACTTTGTATGCTAAATTTAAGATGCTCTTATGCCTGTCTTACTTGTCTTCAGAGAGTGTCATTTCTTTAGATGTAGTTCCTAATGCAGTATCTTACTTTTAGTAGTTGGATTTGTTGGAACCTAAGACAAATATTGAATTTAAGTTCTAAAAATAGAACTTAAGATTATAGTTCTGCAGACTGAATTTCAGATTTTTACTTCGAATATGTACAAAATGTATGGGAAAAAATAAATTTGTGTCACACGAAGTATGTAATTATTGAGTCAAACTCTTGTTTGTCAGTATTTTTATATTTTACTAAAATTATTTGTGAGTACCTTGCGTATCTTGTCCTTGCATACTTACAACTATGAAGACTAGTGGAGCCAGAAAATATGTGAAAACATTTAACAGAAATGCTCCTTTTTGAATTTTATATATACTCTCTATCCCTTGATTTACAAAGCTGGTAGCAACTGTTGCCTCAGGGGAAGTAATATAGCATTGGACAAATAAGTTGGAGATCATTTATGAGTTTCAAATTAGACTTGTTACAGATTCACAGTAAAAAGCTCTGGAGCTACCATTTTTTTGCAGAAATCTGACTTTTTGAAAACTAAAAATATTTGTTGATCTCAAATCTGAGAGGTAGGATGACTTGGACTATAAAATACATAGCGGACCTAAGTGTTTTTTTCCTGCCACACAACTGATCCTTGATTGCAAATGGCAAGTGGAAGGTTGGGTGCCACTTACTGGGACTCTACTCTTATTGCTACTGAGTGCTCCAAAAGATCCCTGTCGGATCTTTGACTGCTCTTGGGGTAAAAACCCGTCTTAGAGAATCATAAAACATCTTAGATTTGTTCAGGACTTTTAGAGCAACAGAGTCTGTGCTGAACTTGTGGTTGGGACTCTCCCCAGTGTCAGCCCTGGAAAGAGTCCCCGGCTCTGTGAAATGGCTTCAGTAGTGTGGAAATCACTCATGGTATATTTAGGAAGAGGGATCTAAGAGTCTCCTAGTTACCTGGTTTCCTCAGACTCGCTGAACTTCCACATGATCTTCTCAGTTTCCCTTCTCTTCTAAGGATGAGGACCAGCAAGTAGGACTTGCCTTCTCTCCTTGTTATTGTATCGCTTTGCCTTTTGTCTATGGGCAAATGTGTTTGCCTGATCACTTTTGTGTTCTTTGGGGCCTGAAAAGTGTTCTAGATAGCAAGTAATACGTAAGTACAAATTGTTTTGGAATCTCTTTGAGTGTTGTTAAACTTCTTTAATAAATCAGATGGGTTTTGTTTATAAAAGTAAAAATTTGGAGTTGAAATGCACAGATCTTTCCACATTGCCCATTTTGCTCTGTCATTAAAACATAGGTGCTCAGAAAGTTGTATCTTGAAATAAAGACTAGAATTTGGGGGAAAAAGGAGAAAATAATATCATATAAAGACTGGTTTTACTAAGCATTTAATATGTGACTATACCTACGTTTGAGAAAATATAGGATAGCGTTATATCTATCATATCACTTTTTATAGAATGTTTTACAAATATCTTGACCATCTTCACAATCACGTTAATATTGTATTTATTTTTCCTTTGAGAATGGATGAAATAGCTAATGCAATCATTATTGGCTACAGTCTTTTCAAGTTCTCTTTTCCAATGCAATGCAACTGACTTTTATAATTTTCATTATATTTATTTCCACAAAACCAGTTTTTTTAAAGTGTCGTGTGTGTGTGTGTGTGTGTGTGTGTGTATAAAGCCTCTAAAACCTTTATAAATAACAGTTACTAAAAAATAAAAAAAAATTTGCAAAATGAAAGTAAATTGAGTTTGGAGTAGAAGAGCTTATCTTAATGAAAATAATGTAAGAATTAAATGTGGAAATTTGGAAGTCAGATCGTGTTAGATTCAGCTCAGCTTTGCCAGGTTTTAGCTGTGTGAACTTGGCCAAGTTAGGAAACTTCTTGAAGTTTCAATTCCTCTTCTTTGAAAGAAGAATGTAAGAGTAACAGTGAAGATCAATTGAGGAAATGCATAAAAAGTGCTAGCATAGGCCCTGGCTTAACACAAATACTTAATAAATGGTAAGCAAAACGTTCATGAGGGCAAGAACTCAGTTCCCATAATTGTTATTTCCCCAATGACTAGAACTGTGTTTCCCATATATTTAGCACTCAACTATTTATCAGAGAAATAAATTTCAATATCATTATTATTATAACGTTCAAAGTAGACTAGAAACTTACATAAATAAATATACACATAATTGAATAAAACAATTATGTTAGTTATGAAACTAAATATAAAGCAGAGAATCAGCAAAAAGAAGACTAATGAAACATATTTCTAATGAAGGAAAACATTTTCATGCTGAGGAGAAATTTATTGTATCAAGGATTACAATTAGTAAAATAATATCATTAAAAAGTTGGTATTGTGGAATTATGTTGACAAGTAACATAAATTTTCTCTTTTTGAATTAAATTAAATTAAATGTATTTATTTATTTTGAGACAGAGTCTCGCTCTGTTACCCAGACTGGAATGTAGTGGCGTGATCTCGGCTCAATCCCACCGGATTCAAGCAATTCTCCTACCTCAGCCATGCTGAGTATCTGGGCTTACAGGCATGTGCCACCACGCTCAGTTATTTTTTGTATTTTTAGTAAAGATGAGGTTTTGCCACATTGGCCAGGCTGGCCTCAAACTCCTGACCTCAAGTGTCCGCCCACCTTGGCCTCCCAAAGTGCTGGGATTACAGACGTGAGCCATAGCACCTGGCCATAACATTTCTAATAAATTAATTTTTACTTTTGTATAAGGAAAAAGTGATAATCTTTCTGTCCATTATAAAAATTTAGTTTATTATAGCTACAGTATTATTACAAATAAATATGAACAACAGCTCTGGCGAGCAGTCCACAAAACTGTTATTACATTTTCAATTTAATTTTTTATAAATGCTGATAAGACGAAAATATTTAAAAAGAGATACATTCAAAAAGAAGTACTTTAAATACTTTATAAAAGTAAGAGTACGCATAGCATGCGTTCACATAGATAATGCTTTGTAAATATGGCCACAGATGTAACAGCTTCTAGAAGAGATTCTTCACAAATATTACTAATGAAAAATGCATCTAAAATAATATAAAAAAATTTCTTTCACACTTATAACTAAATATGTCTACTGTACTAGACAGGCTATGAGACTTTAAATAACTCACATTTGGTCTTTGGATTTGACATTTGACTGTGATTCCTTTCCACAGTGACTGAATCAGGAGTTAGCATCTTAGACAAAGGCAATCTTAGACTAGACTTATGAGTAATAATAAATGGCAAAAATCATACAAGCAAGCACACACTTACCCAGTGGGAATAATTGCTCTTTGATAGTGACAATACAGTTCAGTCATGTCCTTTCTGGTTGAGAGTTTTAAATATAATACCTAGACAGAAAGCCACAGAAGTATGTCTACAGAATCAGTACTGGGAATAGGAGGAGGAAGACAGAGTGGGAATAACAGCAGGTACAGCAGGGTTGTTAAGACGGAGGTAACACCAGAAGAGGGATATCAGTTTGATACCTGAATTGAGGTATTAGCAAGGCTTTCATGTGTGATTTCTGGGAAAACAAAACAAAACAAAACAAAACAAAACAAAACAAAACACAACTTTGCTTCCTTATTTTCCAGTACACACTCTCTAAAATAAATTCTCATCATGAAATATAACTTGAGGTTGCTTCTATTGCTTATAAATTGAACTAATCTATGTTATTTTTGTCTTCAGAAATGTTTTAAGAATTTAAACCACTAGTTTCATATTGAAATCAAAATAATTAAAAGATCTTTTCCGCCACACACACACACACAAAACCAGTATCGGAGATGTAATAAACCATAGTTATTCCACAGCATGCTGTTGTTCAGTTTGTAGGGATTTTGTAAAATCTTATACAACTTAAAGTTTTCTGTAGCAGCTTTATAAAAAATGGATATTAGTGATACAATTGACATTGGTTTAAACTGCATGAGTCCATTTATACATAGATTTTTTTCTATAACTATATTGGAAAAACTTTTGAGGATTTGCAACAATTTGAAAGCACTCATAGGTGAACTGCATAGCCTAGAAATGTAAAAAAAAAAAAAAAAACTAAGAAAAATTTGTGTATATCTCAATGTATAAAATATATATAGGTACTAGTTGATTTTTTTTATAATAAAACATCCACAAATCAGAGAGGTTAAATTTTATCAAAATGAATGCACATAAACACAGACCTCACGTGGTATCACAGTAAAGTAAATGTAAACAAGTGTAAGAATTTAATATTAAATCATAACAGCATAAAATTAACTGTAGTATGTAATGCACTACTGCTATAATTTCATAGCTGTCTCCGGTGCTATTGCAGTGAACTCAAATGTTGCGAGTATCTCTCAAAATTCTGTGACTCTAATTATCTCCATGTGAGCAGTTCTGTTCAGTAAATTGCATACTGCGGTAAACAGTAATCCCTCATGGTTCCCCTGTATTTTTCATTGTGTTTAGCAAAATACAGTAAACCTTGAATAACATCGTGAGATGCATACAAAGAACAAGTGATGCTGAAAGTGCTCCCAAGAAACAGAAGAGCCATGATATTACAGGAAAAAGTTGAATTGTTTGATATGTACTATAGATCGAGATCTCCAGCTGTGGTTGCTCAACATTTCAAGATGAATGAACATGGTGTAAAGACCACTGTGAGAAAAAAAATATAAAAAGGAAAATTGTGAGGTCCTGGCTGCAGTTATGCCAGCAAGTGTGAAAATCTTGTGCTTCTTGCAAAATACCTTTGTATCTCCTATTAAAAATGGAGCTTTTATGTGGGTACAGGATTGTTATAAGAGAGGCATATCTATAGACTCTCATATGATTTGAGAAAAAATGAAATTATTATATGACAACTTAAGGTAAAAGGAAGGTGAAGGATCTAAAGTTGGAGAAGTTAATTCCAGCAAAGCACGATATGATAATTTTAGAAAGTGGTTTGGCTTAAAAATGTCAAGATAACAGGAGAAGCAGCTTCAGACAACCCAGAAGCAGCAGGCAAGTTCCCAGACACCACTGAGAAAATCATGGAAGAGAAAGAACATCTGCCAGAACAGGTTTTTAATGCAGACAACAGTGCCTTATTCTGGAAAAGAAAAATCCTACAAAGATCGTTTATTAGTTGAAAAGAAATAAATGCTTCTGAACCAGTGTCAAACAATGAAGAAGAAGATGTTAGAAGTGGTAGCAGAAAACAAATTGACAGACGATCTGCTAGAAGCGTTCTGATTATTTGTTACTGCTTATGATTTCTTTTATGACATGGACACTTCTATGGGCACTGAAACAAAATCAAACGGTGGGAGGAGGATTATACAGTATAGAAACATTTTTAGAGAAATGAAAAAGCACAGAAAGAGTCAGACAGAAATTAGGCTGTATTTCCATAAAGTTACATGTAGCATACCTGCTTCTCCTGTCCCCTTTTACCTCCTCCAGCCTCTTCCTCTGCCACCCCTGAGACACCAAGACCCGCCTTTCCCCTTCCTCCTTCTTCTCAGCCTACTCAACGTGAGGAGGATAATATGAAGACCTTTGTAATGATCCACTTCCACTCCACTTCCACTTAATGAACAGTACATGTACTTTTTCTTGTTTATGATTTTCTTAATAACATTTTCCTTTCTCTGATTCACTTTTTGGTGAGAATGTATTATACAATGCATGTAACATACAAAATATGTGTTGATTGATTTTTCATTATTGATAAGGCTTCCAGTCAACGATCAGTAGTTAAGTTTTTGGAAATTCAAAAATTATATGCAGTTTTTTTTTTTTTTTTTTATTGTGTGTAGTAGTAGGGGTGGGAGTTGGCGCCCCTAACCTGTGTATCAGGGGTCAACTGTATTTGAAAGGAGCCAGATAGGCAATTTTGTTTTTCTCCTTTATACCCAATATTTTAATAATTACAATAGTTTTGTTACTTAAGATCTATAGATACTTTCAACTTATTTTAGTCTCTACATTAATAGACTAGAGCTTATCTTTAATCTTCATTCCTATATGCTATTTTAAGCCAAGTGTTAGTGTTAATGTTAGCAATATTTGAATCAAGACATCAAATAGTAGTAGCTGTTTTTTTAAAAAAAATACATCTGTGTTTACGTCTCTTCTGGATTATATTTTAATAATGATTTAACTAGGCAACTGGAGAAATGCATTTTCTCTTTATAGACCAAACAATGGCAATTTACCTGGACCTGGAATGGATTTCTTACCAGTTGTGCAAATGTAAAGCAATTAGGAAAACATTTTCCTAGGGAATGGTTTAATGATTTGTTTGTGGGGCAACAAAAGCACTGCTACTCTCTATACTTCTGGATTAACACTGGTATTATAAACAGTATTATAATAAATAAAAGTAAAAATAAATGAACAGTGATAATGAAACAGGTATTTCCCTGACCCCTTTGTGGGAAGGAACTGGAGTACAGGAGCGCTGGAGTCAGTTGGCCTCTCCAGCGAGTGGGTGCAGCAGCCAGGAGAATGTTTTTGGGTGCAGGCAGGAGTACCAGCCTTGTGGCAGTATCTAGGGTGTGGTCTCTGTGACCCTTGAAGCCCCAGAAGAAGTGTTACAGTGCTGTTTTAGCTCGACCATCCACGGGCAGCTTGCGTGTTGACAGTTCAGTGGGCCCTCTGCCTTTTCGTGGGAGGCAGCTGCCTCCACCCGTTAGGGTGAAGGGTTAGAGTGACAGCCTTTTGCATCTGCACTCATGGAACCCAACCAAGCTCTTGTCCAGTGTCCAGGAGAAATGAAGTCACACAAAGGAATTGGAGAATGGTAAATGTGGAGGATTTTATCACTAATAGAAGTGACTCTCAGTGGGAAGGGGAGCTGGAAAGGGGATAGAGACAGAAGGTAATCTTCCCTTGAAATCTGGCTGTCTCTGGCTGGATTCTTCTCTGAAGTTACGCTGTCAACCTGTCCCTATGAAGTCAAGCCACTTCTCTCCAATGTCCAACCATAGTCTCTGATGTCTTCCTACTTCTCCTCTCTCTGTCAGTTTAGCCTGGGATTTTTATACACACAGGATAGGAGGCAGGCAGGCCATGGGTGGTTTTAGAAAAGGCAACATTTGAGTCATGAGGGATGTAAGTTCTCACTTTGAGCCACAGTTCCAAACTTTTCAGCTTGAGGGTGTACCCCTCGCTAGGGACTCTCCCTCTTCTGCACAGAATTTCCCTGCCTCCTGTCCCTATCAATATTATAAATAGTACTATAAAGTGGTGTTATAGAGATGACTATTTATAAACAATAGAAACTTACATTTCACAGTTCTGTAGGCAGGGAAACCCAGATCAAAACAACACGTTCCTGAAGATTCAGTGTCTGGTAAGTGCCAATTCCTCCTAGATGGTTCTTTCTCCAATGTCCTTACATGGCAGGAGGGATAGAAAGGGCAAACAGCTTCCTTACACCTCTTTTATAGATCACAAATTCCACTGAGGAGGAGCGAACACTCCTAAAGGCCCCACCTCTTAATACAATCACATTGGGGATTACTTTTCCACATATAAAATTTATGGGACACCAACAGTCAGACCATAGCAGAGAAAACAGAGGCCTTCACTACTATGTATGACTGCAATGATCTATTTACATAGTGAGAGGGGCTGGCACAGTGGAGCTGAGGTTATAAGCCATTGGGCACAACCACACTAGCACTATAATAATTTTTAAAAACTATACATTAGCATACAAGTGAGATTTGAAGGAGCTGGGTTTTTTGAACCCCAACCCTAATCTCAGAGTAGTCTCTAAGGACACAGTCATTAGGCATCTCTGGACTTGTGTAGCTGGTTTTCATTATTTGTTGGGATGGGATTATGTGCGTCTCTGAGTTTTTACTCTTATATCATCCTGCAATATGTTGATATTTAAAATGACTAGCCTGGTGAACATGGTGAAACCCCATCCCTACTAAAAATACAAAAAATAGCTGGGCGTGGGGGCACACACCTGCAATCCCAGCTACTTGAGAAGTTGAGGCAGGAGAACTTTGCTTGAACCCAGGAGGTGGAGGTTGCCGTGAGCCGAGATCATGCCACTGCACTCCAGCCTGGGTGACAAAGACTCCATCTCAAAAAAAAAGAACCTCATACTACTTTTAAAATCAGATTTTAAAATCATAAAATCCATATACAGCTGTATATAAAATTGAGGGGTCAAAATAATTGTTCATGGGTAGATTTGAAACCAGTTCATAAGAATATCTTAATTGCTTTCAACACTATATCTAGCAGAATAACTACATTAATTTTAATATTTTGTATATTTGCTTAAATATTTTTTGCATATAGCACAAGAGGATATGAGATTGCATAAATAAGTAACTCTGTCTCTCTAATCT